TGCTCCGTGGCACTAACCACAACGTCATAGTCTAACTCGGTAGAGTTTTTTGTGCATTTAGAAGAGACAATACTTTTCTCTAAAAGAGAAATGAAAATGGTGGAAAGATGATTATTCACAAACAAGTTTTAATGAAATCCAAGCATCTATAGATTACATATCAGATTTGGAGAATCCAATGAACTTCTAATTGATAATTCACAAGCAAGCTTTGGTGGAATCATATAGCTTTACTTAAAGCAGAATAAATTCAAAGCCTACAATTAGCCCCAAATTCATTCTTACTTTGCAAACGGATTCTCAAACTTCAAATTTTGTGGCAAGTCAGTCCCTTTCGATATTTTCCACCCCACATGGCTGGAAGCTTCAGTGGCGGAAGGAGTGCCACCGTGGAAGATAAATGTAGTGCGGGTAATTCTATCAAATATGTGATTCCATCAAGACAACCTTTGTAATTATCAACATTAGTGTTTTGAGTTCATGTGTGTAAATTGTTGGCAAATTCAACCTTTATACGCCAAGCCATCCTTCTTACAATTGACCCATGACAGTTTTCTCCAACGTTGGATTTACTTCGTATGTCAGGTTAATTTCCTGCAAAAATTTACTTAACTGAATTTTGAGCAGCAAGTTTCTTACAATTCTATAATGTTTCAGATGTATTTGACTTGAAATCTGAATATGATGCGGTCGCCAGCTCCAAATCCAGGGGCTTGACAGTTACTCTGCATATCGGTCAGTTGGCTAAAGCTATGAAACAACAAACAAGTACGCGGTAGTTGAGAACCGAAATTGGCACAATGACAGAGAAGTGGCCGCCCTTCTCAATTTGGCCCAGACAGTACGCTACACTCAATTGAGGTACTCTAACCTTCAATTTGTATCAGTGAACGTCCTAACCTTTCAAAAATATAAAGTTGAGGTCCAAATTAACGTAAAACCGTTAGTTGGTCTGGAAATTACAAAAATAGATATTTTAACCATTTTAAGCAGCGACATTTTCGTCAATTCCATGACAACTTTATATTTTGCAATATAAATATAATTATACAATAAGGGATAATTAAATCAAAAAATAAAAAATAAAACCAAAATGATATCTTCTTCACCTCACCCCATCCCCAC